AATCACTGTTGGGACCTAAAACAAAAAGAAAAAAAAAAGACGAAAAGATTAAACATAGGAATATAAAGGGATTAATACAAAAAATGAGTGCGGAATACGACCCAACCCAACTCCCAAATTTTGAGCACAATCAGACTGTTAATTTCATATTTGTAAAAGTGTGAAAAAAAATGGAAATTATATATACATATATATATATATATATATATATATATATTACTTATTTATTTATTATACTTTTATCATATAGACAAAAACAGTTTACTCACTACAAAGTTGGAACTGCGTTTCGGTGCATTGCAATTGCACCTCGACTGGTAAGAACCAATAATGGTTATGAACAATTTGCTTACAAGCAGAATTGTTCATAACGATTTTGCATCTTTGTAGTGAGCAAACTGTTTTTGTCTATATGATAAAATTATAATAAATAATCATCGCTCTACTATCGATATGGAGCCCTCTTTTGAATTAATTCTGTGAAAGTTAAAATTTATATATTACTTTCGTTCTCATTGCATCGGATTTATATATATATGTGAGTGTGTGTGTGTGTGTGTGTGTGTACTACTTTCGCCTCAGTAAGCTGTATGACGATAAACTACATCCGGCAGCAAGGCCCCTGACTGGGAGAAAAGACCTTTTGAAGAGCGTGAAACCACCTCTTAATTGCTGTTGTTCGCAGCTCAAACCTAACCTCCGCTGGTAGCACCTGTTAGGAACCCAGCTATAGACAATTAGTGGACCCCAAACAAAACACTATAAAAGTATAAAAATTCATTTTTATAGTAAAAAATACCAGCAGCAGATTTTCATATAAAAAATTACCAACAATACGCACATCCTAACAAATTGTAGCGATTTCACCGAAATCTGTTTAAAATACTACCAAACAACCAACATAAAAGAGCTTTCATGACATTAGTCCTTGTAATATCCTACAATTTCTTAAAGAAATCAAACTGTATTCCAAATTTAAACTTCAAGAAAACCCACAACATAAAATACACACAAAACCGTCTCTAACAAGAATGTCCACACAAACATGTATATGCACAAAAACTGAGTATCGACGATGCATTCAGTGATGAAAGCAGAATAACATATCACATTTCTATTACTTCAAAGCTCTCAAGGAAAATTAAATTTCAGCATTAAATGACCCATATGGTGTTGATATGCCGTTAAACAAATCAAACCAATCAATCTTCTGCCATTTTCTCGGCTAAATAATGGACCATTTCGCTTGTGATGAAAGTGGGATGAAACCATATATCAAACAGGCTGCTTCGCATTAATGACAGAGAGGGAAAGAAAGAATGAAGAAAGGAAAATGAAAAGAAAAAAAAGGAAAAGACAGAAAAGAAAGAGGAAAAAAACGAAAGGAAGATAAAGAAAGAAAGGGGGAAAATAAAGAGAAGATAAAGGAGACGATAAAGCTCTCATGCTTCTGCTTCAGTAAAATGGAAAACGTTGTCTATTTTAAATCTTTTCATTTGTTTCCCATTTACATCTTTAAATAATGACCAGCATCCATATTTATGGTTGTTATTGCAATATTTTGTTAAAGTTGTTAAGTTCAGATATTTAACGATGCGATAGGGGAATTTCTATGGATATTTTACTGTTGTAGAGCTCGCAAGGAGATTATTCAACCATTATTTTAAGAATTATGATTCTGCAGAAAATTTTAACAGTAAAAGCGTGAAAATCGCTGCCGACACTGGAGTTTGAACATAGATCGCCAATAAGCAAACACAGGCGATCCCATTATTAAGTAGATCACGTGATCATAGAGGAAAGCATATATGGGAATTGGCGTAACGTCTCATGGATCTTTCTACACTATCCTCTATTACTGTGCGGATCAATATAGTATTTCTCTATATTGATCACTATACGGATTATTATTCATTGATTCCTTTTCGAACGAGTATTATCGAGCAAATACTATTAGTGATAGTGTTGTTCAAAAGCGTCTGACACCAGTATTGTTCAACGGCGTTACTATAGTTGTATCTGCGATTACAAAGTCTCTACTACAACGAGCATTACGAAAGTGACAACGATTATTCGTTGACATCACAAAACACGGATACTTATAATCATAATAAAAGCCAAGATTGTGTAATTGCAATATATATATATATATATATATATATATATATATATATAACGAAAAATAGCTAGTGTATTACTGGAGGTTAAAATGTTTCTGGCCTTTAGAAGTGTACTATATTAAGAAATAGAGTATTAATAATAAACAAATATTTTCAAAACTTATTTTCCCGACTCATAGTTTCGAAGATGGCATCAGTTCGGTAGTTTGTTTTTCAGTGAGACAATCAGAGAAATGATTCGCCACTTCAACAAAACTATTCCCCACCTCTCTCTCTCTCTGAAACATCTATATCCCCAGAAGTTCCCTACTAAACATTTCAACGCCCACGACATGCTCCTCATCTCCGGAACACTCATAGATTACGGCAACACACAGTAATAAGTACCAACATAAAAGCCAAGTGATCTCAAGAGGCATCGGGATACAAGCTATTCGGCGATATAAAGCTTATCGCCCCCAGAGAATGCTCGTAATTGGCACCATTTCCTCTTCCTGGCTTCCCAAGTGGACGAAATAAGAGTGTTAATCATTACAAGTCAACAATACCTGCAAGCAAAGGGTAGGAAAGCTTACTTGAGATGTTTCATTTTTTGTAAAGAACAAAACGTACATGTTGAGAGGAGGTAAGTGTTTTCCAGGGAATCATCTGTGCCCAGGTGATTACCTACCGGTAAGAACTGTGAAAAATGTCCCACTTAGTGCTAGATGTAGCGGAAAGAAACAAAAAGAAAGAACTAAAAATTATGGCATATCGACAACTTCATGGTTTCAAAAACATTCTTTATCGACTTTCTTCTTCCTTCTTCTTCATACGCCCTGTCCTTTCAGGTGGTAGACAATTTTGGCGCATCACAACTTCCTATCCTGCTTCTCGTTTTCACACCTTTCCCTGCTCTGCCATACATTTACACAAGATACCTAGGTAGGTTACCTGTTCTTTTCCTTCGCCCCTCTCGACTTCAGTAGGTTTTGTGTGTGCCAAATTCTCGAAGATCTATTTCCTCATAAATGCATAATAGAAATTTCAAATTTCTGTCTTTAATTCTAAATACCCGTTTTGTTTCGATTTCCCTTTAAACTTGCTGATCTCATAATTACTTGAAGAACACTGTACTGCTTGTTTTTTTAATCATTTCAACTCAAGTAAGGCAATAAAGCCACTAACACGCAAGAGACAACTGAGTGTTACAGAATATATACTATTAAAGAGGGAAGACACCAAAAGAACGAGAATTACGGAAACAGAAGATAACGACCGATATTGCATTTAAAATTATGAAAATCATAGATCATAAGGAAGCGAGAATCCGGAAGAGAGTTCTACAAGCGAGAAGTGTCGGAGAAGGAACTCTTAACATAGAACTTACGGTTGCATCTAGCCATTTCAACGATAAAATGATGAAATCTTGCCGCCAGTCTAATATTGCGCTTAAATTCATAAAGTTTTGGTATCAAAGAGGAAAGTCATCAGAACAATTACCATGAAAGTATTTATAGAAAAGGCACGGGAAAACTACGTTACGGCTCTGGTAATGTGAGTAAAACCGAGATACCAGGTCAGGACCAATAACATTGCAGATTCTTCTTTGTATTTTATCCAGAATTCCATAAATACATGGCAGAAATTGCAGACCCGAGGTAACAGCAATATTATATTCATGGACGAATGGTAGACTTATAAATATGTAAGATAGATTCGGGCAGAAATCTTCAACGTCTGGACGAATGGTAGACTTATAAATATGTAAGATAGATTCGGGCAGCAATCTTCAACGCCTGGACGAATGGTAGACTTATAAATATGTAAGATAGACTCGGGCACAATTGACTCAATATACTCTTTCATCTGCATATCAACTAAAATCTTTAGTCCGAGCAGTCACTCTACTGGATGTTAGCATTAGTCATGCTGTTGGTAGTTAAAAAAAATGGTTATTTCATTTTAATTAGAAAGGGCTTTAATCGGTAGATCATCCACGGTAAATTTACGTCCAGGTTCTTACAATGCTGCACCTTTCTTGGCAGAACCTCTATTATCACAATGTGGAATATTTAAAAAAACAAAAACAAAAAAAAAACTCCTCCTTTCGTGCGCATGTGCAATCTTATCAACGTAAACATCATTTCAGTTCGATGAAGTCCTAAAGATACGCGTTATCCGAAAACTTTTTCCAATTTTCCAGTTTTTTTTGTTATTTTTAAACATTTGGATATTTTATAACTTAGATAACTCCGCTGGTGTGTACAGTACATAACCTCAGCATCTTTCGCTTTACAGGTAAAAAAATTAACTTTCAGCTGAGCAAACAATGTTATTTTATAAAAAATGACGAACAATTTTTATCTCAGAAAAAAATACCCTGACGATGACATTGTGCTAATGTTGAAAGTACTCGGCAAAATGAATATGTATCATCAGAGTAATTTTCTCTCTTCTTTTAATAAGGATACTAAGAAGCTTGTTGTCTGTGAATATGAGAGGATCCTATTGAAATTAAGTAGACAAATTTGTTTAAATTATTCAAGGAGACATGTCTCATATATATATATATATATATATATATATATATGTATGTATGTGTGTGTGTGTGTGATGAAATGTTCAAGCTCTGACTAATTTCTGTTTATTTTGAAAAGCTTTCTGCCTTTTAGTGGAGCCAATAACTTTTCCGCGCCTTCGCACCCGCATACAATATTAATCTATCGTCTTGTTCACACTCCTCCCTGTTTTTTTCTTTTTCTTTTTTTTATCATTTTATTTTTAACATGAAAAGAGGTTTATCCCTTGTTTCTTGTTTAGGATTGGGTTTCTGGTGTCTTCTAAAATCTTTCCATACTCTTTCACTTCC